TCACCTCCACATTTTAGGTTTTAAGTGAACCCAAAGCAACGGGTAGCAGTCTTATTAGTTTCCTTGTCTCCTACAAGGGACTCTGGAAGACAGTCTACCATGTCCTAAAGGTATACTCCTAAGTAAATAACTTATCCTACCGATGATCACTGGCTTTGGCTTCAGCTACCCAGGAGAAGAGCAATTAAAGCCATCCTTCATCCTAGATTACAAGGCCTAAACTTAATCTCCGTTAAGATTTCAATACGATTAGTTTTATAACGGCTTTCAAATCAAACAACACCTTGCTGGTAGTTTCTGGATGAACACACATTAAACCAAGTGAGTACAGAACAAGGAATCTACAAATCCTAGCATATGGAATGATTTCCTAAAAACTAACTCAAATATTCTTCACAAATACCCCATCCAATACAAACTAATCCCAAAGGGAAGGCTCGTGGGAGCAAAAGTCAGAACAATTGCCCGAACAAATGTTCAGGATTTGCTGGGGACTGTGGTCCAAGTCCTCTTTAGCAGCAGGATACAAGAAACAAATCCATGAAGGCTTTTGCTAGCTGTACTAAGTCTGGACCCTTTCAGTATTGAGCAACAGAACGTCTTCCCTTTTCACATTATTTAGGTTATTGCTACAGGTGCTAAAAATTATTTGCTCCTGCCTGTTGCACATGGAGTGGGGTGAGAAATGTCACTTACTTCCCAGTTAAACAGTCAGAAGACAACACTAACGTGTATTGTGGTGCATGAGAAAAAGAACAGCAATCAAATCCTTTTGATGCTTTTCATCACTAAAATGACTTTCTGGTAATAGTAAAGTTGACTGGGCATTCCTTGGGAGCAACTGACTGTCAGGGGGACCGGCAGAGAAGGGACTGTTAGTTACAGTAAGTTTTAAAAGGAAACATCCAGCCTTCACTAGGTAAGACATTTTCCTCTGCCTGCCCCATGATCATCCCCTTTGCTATTATACTTGCACACCCAATGGCACCTCGCTTGAAAGGTTTTGTTAGTCTGGTTTGTCTGGCTAAGAAAATGTCAGCTGAAAGAATAAATCTGGGGAGGCTGCAAGTACAAACACTCACACGGAAGATTTAAAAAAATTATCCTGTTCTGTGCTTGTAGTATCCTGTTCTGTGCTTGTAGAAACCAGTCTCCCTGTAATTTTAAGAGTCCAAATCCCACATGAAGGGAAAAGTCATGTGAGAGGTTAAACAAATCCAAAGCAAACATGAGTATTAGCTTTGTTGTACGGTCCTGTAAAACCAGCTGGGTAAAGTTAGTCTCTGGGTTGGTTTAGTTATCAACATCTCTTGCCATACTGCAGTGACCCGTTTGACTTTAATTTCACCACTAGGCACCAGCTTCTGTTGTCTCTCCAGCTTATTGTCAGCATCAGTATTAAGCTGTTCTAGCAGGAGATGTGATTATTTGTGTGTTTTTAACCCACGCTTTCACAGTGAGAAAAACCTGAGATACATAATCCAAATAATAATAAACCTATGCAGTCTAAACAAGCTTTGGGACAGCTGTGCAAAAACAGTATTGCAAGTTTTGTGTTTTACGGGATGTGAATGAGGCCGACTCCTTTAAAAGGCGTAATTCATCCTACCTTGCTGGCTTTCAGTATCTCAAACATCAGAGGCAAGCCTTGTGTGATCAGCTCCTCTGTGTACTCTTCTTCCTGAATGGACTTGAATTCCTTCAGCAAGCATTGGATGAGGGGTCGTCGGTGCTGCTGGAAGGACGTGCGCAAGGACTCCAGCCACGTGTGCAGCGTCCAGGGAACACCTACAGACAGAGGACAGAGCTCACTCCCAGCTTCAGAGAAGGATGTGCCCTTCTGCTTTTTTACCTCTAGTTACGTTAATCTTAAGATTTTAAGCAAAGGCTGCCAAATAACCCTAGAAGTCAAATTCGCATTTATCCGTGACTGAGAAGGCTGGTGGCTATCAGCACATCCCAGAGTGAATGCACAGAGGCTTTCCTCCAAATGCTAAGAGAAGACCGTGGTCTCTCCGCTCATCTAGCCTTCAGCTTCTCTGCTGAGACTGCCAATTTGCGGTAATTGCTGTGGTGCTCTGTGATGCAAAAGCCTTTTGGAAACTAGATTTACACTAGCTCATTTGTTTGAATGCGGCCCTGGAGAGCCATTAAATGGTAAAAAACCTGCTTTTGGTCACTACCCACCTGGATTCAAACCGGTGGTCTTCAGATTAAAACTTTCTTTAAGCGCTACCCCATGTCCTCTCCCGCTCATTATTATTTTCCCTAAACAGCACTGGGCCCATGCACTGAGTGAGAAAGCACACCGAGCTAATGCTGCTCCGCAGGCACCAGGCTGGAGGTGACCTAGTTACTGCTCTTGCAGAACAGAGTGGGAGGAAACGCAAGCCTGGCATTTGGCTACAAAAGGATTTTCCTTCCATTTCAGCAAACGTCCAGCACCTGGAGATCAGCCTCATCGCTCTCCTCTCCCTCATCACCCAGTAGTTTGCCTGCTCAGCCCTCCCGGCAAGCTACCGCACACCCCGACCCACGCTGGACGTCCCCAGGGCTGGAGTGCCGCACCAGACAGGGGCATGCCAGGCACCCAGGTCTCTCTCCAAACGCCGATTAGCGGGGAGGGTAAACACATAGCCCAGACCAACTCCCCTCCGTGCCACCCAGCCACCCTCTCCACGGGCAGAAGCCATCTCCCAATACAACAGGCCAGTATCATGTTCAATCTCCACACTGGCAGTTGGTACACTGAGCAGCCAGGTCCTCGCTCCTGCTCTCCAAGGCTCACAGACCTCAGAAAAAAAAAGATGTTTTAATGGTGGAGTGCAAAAGAAGAACTGCTGGAGGTGGCCTGTGGGAGCTGAACACCGCCCCAGAGCCTTAGCTAACGCTCTGCCAAGCAGCAGTGAAGATGGCTGCTGGTGGAAACCACTCTGTCCTGCAGAAAAGCACCAGTGACCCCTGACTGGGGTGTGCTGTGGAACCTGCCAGATCCCCCATCGCCTTCTGCTTCCGCAGGAGTTGAGGAAGACACAGCTGTGGTCGGTTTAAGCAACAGCCCGTCGAGAGAGACGCATTTCTTCCAGCACTCCCTCCCAGGCAGGAGAGGAGAGCGGGCGCGGCGACTGACCTACGCTCCGTATGTCGATGGTCACGTCCACGTAGCCGTGCTCGGCGCTGTGGTACATGGCCTCCTTCAGGGCTTTCAGCTTGGCCTTGCTGTTGCGGCTGGCGCAGAGCGGAGCTGCCGCCGAGGCGGGCAAGTCCGTCCCCTCCGCCAGGATCTCCTCCAGCGGCAGAATGTCCCCCTTCTCCTTCTCCGGC